ATAGAATAGAATAGAATAGAATAGAATAGAATAGAATAGAATAGAATTATTTATTGGCCAAGTGTGATTGGACACACAAGGAATTTGTCTTGGTACAAATGCTCTCAGTATGCATCAAAGAAAAGATACATTCATCAAGAGTCAAGAATCATAAGGTACAACACTTAATAATAGTCATAGGGTACAATAAGCAATCAAATCATACTAGGGAATAGTCAATATAGATTGTAAGGATACAAGCTACAAAGTTACAGTCATACAGTCACAAGTGGGACTATTCATATTCCCAATTCTGTTCCTATTCATATTCCCAATTCTGAATTCCCAGTTCTGTTCCTCATATTCCCAGTTCTGTTCCTATTGTCTGATGAGCGATAAAGCAATTGAAAAGACAATAAAAACTGCAAAGGATGATGTAGAAAAACTATATTCCCGATGAAAAGATTGGCAAAATATTAATGTGCTTTAAGGTTGAGTGGAGGATAATTTAACATTGCCGAAAAACGAAGTCAGCTTTATATCTGCTGATTAATCAGTAACAGGGCATAACAATAGGACTTAAACTTGCAATATATACAGCCCCATAGTGCTTTACAGCACTCTTTGGTTTACATAGTCAGATATTGCCCCCAACAAACTGAGTCCTCATTTTACCAACCTCAGAAGGATGTAAGGCTGAGCCAACCTCAAGTCATTAGAATCAAACTCCAAGTTGTGGGCAGAGTAACCTGTATTTTTCCTCCTTATGGTTCTTTACCTTTAATTTATACTGACTTGAACTAAGAAATCCTTGACGTACAGGAGGTCTTCTTACAGGGAGCTCCTTTGACAGCCTTTCAAAAATAGAACTGTGCTGTGCAAAATAAGATGCCTGGCTCTCCTACCTCAAGAAAAATACAACCAGTCATGAGAGTAAACAGATATCCTAAAGCAAGGAGTTATGGATATTTCCTGCCACAACAGAGGAAGCATACTTCCTTGTTTCTACCAGCTTTCTTCTAATTTATATCGTTAAGTGGATTCAACCTTACAGTTGCCTGATACTTAAATTAAGCATGACTGAAAAATATGTGGGATATGTACATTAGAGGGCTTTTGTTTTGTAAATATTTACAAGGTTCCAAATAAAATGACCACTTTAGTCTTATTACGGTTATAGTGGTGTGAAAGAACTTTATCCTGAATCTTTGCTGCTTCTTTTTTTTTACAGATGGCTACACAATTGATGATATTCAATTTTACTGGCGCGGGGGTGATAATGCAGTTACAGGAGTGACAAAGATTGAACTGCCACAGTTCTCTATAGTGGATTACCAACTTATCACCAAGAAGGCTAAATTCTCAACAGGTTTGTGAGGATATTGAGAAAGAGAAAGCTTCTCCAATGTAAAGCTGTTTAAACTGTTTTAATATCACCCAATGGTGAACTGCAGGGATGGGATTCTACCAGTTCGCACCTATTCACTAGAACAGGTTGTTAACATTCTAAGCAGTTTGGAGAACCGGTTGTTAGAAGAAATTACTGGACTAATCCTGTAAGGAAGGCAGGAAGGAAACATGAACAGAAACTGCCTCTCCATTAACCCTTATTACATTCTTGGCAGGACTAGATTTCCTGTCTCAGGAACTTCTCTGGAGTTTTTCCCCCTCCTTTGCTGGTACTTTGCTTGTGTGTAGTGACCATTCAAACTTACAATGTCACTGAACAAAGTGACTTATGACCATTTTTCACACTTACAACTGTTGCAGCATCCCCACAGTCTTGAGAGGCCAGGCGAGGAGATGCATGCCTCAATGTGAGTGATATTGAGTTGGCCACACCCAGCCAATAACATGACCACCAAGCCATGCCCACCAACTAAGCCATTCCCACAGAACCAGTTGTTAAAAAATTTGAATCCCATCCCTGGTGAACTGCATGGTTTACAAAGTAATTTGGGCTTTCAACTAACTCTGGACATATTAATTGGTGTACTATTACATTACATCCATTTGTTATGGATTGAAATTTCCATAGCTTCTACCCAATATGGACAATAGCATTTGTTCTCTGAATATAGCTATGAAGTAGGAAGCAGACTGAAGTTTCAATTCTCTGCAAGTTTACCCACAAATTAATTTTACTGAACCAACGGATTTATTTCTGAATAAATGTGCATAGGGTTGCCTTGTGTAAATAGTACATCCTGAAGTTAATCAATAGTTATATAAAGATGTGCCAGGGAAAGGACCTAGTACTTATTGGCAACTCTTTAAAGTGACAGTGACTTTTTCCAGGACAGCTACAGACGGCAACTATGCGGTTGAGACAAAAGATGCAGATGCTTTAAAATGTTGTGAATGATGCTTGGTTCACATCTTTAGAGTTCTGAAGAGTTTCTTGGAATTAGATACATAGTGTTGCAGAGCCACAGAAAATAACTTTATATGCCTTATTCAGCACTTTCTAAAGAACAGTTAACGGTCCAAGCTAATAAACTATTTTCTGTCTTCTAGAGGTACTCTCCTCTCAAAGCTAAGTAGAAAAACCATCAACTTTATCCAGGCATTTTCATTATTGTAAAATATACTATCGCTTTCCACTCTTTAATGGCTCCCTATAAAGTAGTCATTAGCTGCCCTCTATTCTATTATTCAGACATTAAATCTAGTTGAGTTAGATTATTTATTTATTTATTTATTTTGTTAAGCAGTCCTGGGCAGAACAAGAAATTACTACATAATGTATAATTGAGAAATAACTTTACAGATTGCCAATCAAACCAGATCATAATTATTATTTTTATATATTGCAAATCTGTAGAATACAGCCTTTGGTTTGTTCTTAAAACAGAGTGCAAAGCTTTGGAAGTAGCAGGATTAGAAACTCCATTTGAGACCTGAATTGGACTCTTGAGGGAAGTTTAGATCTGGAAATTTATGAGATACAATTTCTGTGTTTTCACTTGCCATGCCTTTTTATATTTTCCTACAGATTTCTTTGCTTTTTCATATGACTATGCAGAGTCTGTTTATTATAACTGTGCAGTGTTTTAGATTTGATACTGAAAAATACTCCAGAGTACATAGGAATGTGAATGGGACATATTTCTGGCATATCCTTATTGCAGCTGTGTTGAACTATGGTTGTTGTGCATGTTATTCATGTATTAGTAGTGTGTGTTTGTGTGCATGTGTCTGTGTGTGGTACAGACAATTGTGTCATGCTACTTACCCCCCTCTCAAGGTAAGTCAAGTCACTTGTTAAATCAAGTGCAGAAATAGAATTAAAAATAATAAACCAAATAAATTATTGTCTTTTGTTCTTCAAATTTCACATTTTTTTAAGGTTCCCCCCTAACTTCATACAGCCATAGCTTCCTTTGTCTTCCCTTTCTTCTTAACCATTCACTTTTCCTTCATATACTGTATCTGTTTTACAAATAGATTGTCATTCACTCTCTTATGTGACCAAACCATCTCAGTGTATTTATTTGCTCTTTATTTCTTTTGTTTTCTATGCACATTCATTCAGCAGGCCTAGATTCTTGACTTAATTTTCAAATCTGCATTCCTTGTTGCTTTATACAATCTAAATTACATTTACTGCAAATCATTGGGATTTGAACCAATGACATGGCATCACCTGTATACAGAAGTATACATTCATTGGAAGGGAGGGAGGTAGATTTCACATGCTTCCCAACCTCCCCATAAGCTTCCCACAAGAAAAATCAATGGAGAAGCCAGCAGGAAGTCAGAAGTCATTCCTATTCCCACTGCTTTTTTGCTCAGCATTGTCATTCTGTTTCTCTGTTTAAGTAAGGAAATACCTCTCAAAGGATAACACAACCAGTCATAGGTTGTCTAGTATAAAATAAACTACATTTTTGTAGGAGAAGGACTGGCAAAGCCAGGGAAAGGTGTTAAAAGATACATGAGTGTGTGTGAGAGAGGGGGGGTGGGGAGAAAGGAGGGAAAGAGGGAGAAAGACTGTTGAAGAACAAATATGTGATCTGCAAACTGATTGCCGAGCATACAACCACATTATTCTTTCAAAATTTTTATTTGAGTTCTTGTACTCTATATTGGCCATATATTCCATATTCCTTATTTTTTAATAGCATGGTTAATCTAATCATTTCTGTGCATTGGTGAATTTTATTGATTACTGTCAAATCTGTGGGTACCGTTGTCAATTTCCAATTTTGGGCAAAAGCTATCCTTGCAGCTGTTATAATGTGTAGTATTAGATGCTGATGCTTCTTGTCCCATGTCGGTTCTGACATTCCCAGTAAGGAAGTCTCTTGTTTAAACTTAATCTTTTGTTCTGTCAACTCTTCTAGCCATGCTGGATCTTGAGCCAGTACTTTCATGCTTGGGGACACGTCCACCACATGTGAAAATACGTTCCCTGGCTATGGTTCCACTTCCAACATTTAGCAGACAGGTTAGGAAACATTCTAGCTAGTCTCGTTGGTGGAAGGTGCCAACGATAAAACATTTTATAGATATTTTCCTTGTAGGGGACTGACAAAATTAATTTATAATTAATTTGCCATATTCGTTCCCATTGTTCTAGATCAATACTGCAGCCAAAATTTTTGGCCCATGTTATCATATTCTCCTTAACCGTTTCCTCTTCCATTTTAAATTCCAATAAGCAATCATACGTTTTAGTAATCATCTTTTGTTTACATCCTTGTAATATTTTATCTAATTTCTGAACAGTATTAAAAAATCCAAATTGTTCCTTATCTTTTTTATATCTTGTTTGAATTTGAACATAAGGCCACCACCCTATTTCAGTTCCTTGTGTTTTTAGTTGTGTCTGTATTTTTAGGTCACCTTTATCCGTTATAAGTTCCTTATTTTTTATTGTTTTATTCAAATCCATAGCATTGGGATATATTAGTGCCTCCACTGGAGATAGTCAGAGAGGTATGTTTGCATAGTGGTTTCTTTTGATGTTTTTCCCATACATGTAACAAGGCATTTCTTATCTAGTGTCTTTGAAAATAATTGTGACATCCGTTTTTCTCATCCCAAAGAAACATGTGCAAGCCCAACTGTAAATTGAAGTCTTCTATTGTCAGTATTCTTTTGTCTATCAGGTTAATCCAATCTTTAATCCAAGTACTAACTGCAGCCTGATAGTATAACTCAAAGTCTGGGAGAGTCAGTCCTCCCTTGCTTCTACTATCCTGATTAGTTTATATTTTACTCTTGCTTTTTTCTTTTGCCAGATAAATTTGCCCCTCTTCTCCCCAACCTCTCACAATTTTGTCCAGTCAGAATTTACTTGTAGGAGATTATGTGTTTGACGCTTAGGCTCAGCCTGATCATCTCCTACATTACCTGCATTTTCTCTGCCTCTTTCAGTCTTTGCTCTCTTTATCTATATTCCTTGTAAATCTCTTTTTTTCTTTATGCAGATATTATACAATTCTTTTCTGTCATATTCATTTTAGCAACAATCTTACTTTAACTTTTTTTTTTTGCATTTACAACACTTCATCATTCCACCAGTCAATTTTTCTTTTTAGTATATCTTTTCTCATAACTCCATACACTTCTATGGCATTAGGCAGCATAATTTTTTTTCAGTCACTTCCACTTAATATCCATTCTGTTAGAAAATTTAATTTAATTTCCAACTGGACCTGTCTTTGGTTTTCATGCAGTTATTCTACTTTCATGAAAATTTCCTGCTCTTCTTTAAATGTCAATTTTTTCCTTAATAAATTTACTAAAATAATAATCCTGTTCACACTGAGAACCTCTGAATAGAATAGAATAGAATAGAATAGAATAGAATAGAATAGAATAGA